GGCGAAGCAAACAAAACTCCTTAACTATCTGCTTTCACAGGTTGGTAGCCCTCGGCCTCGGCATTCCCAATGAAAATCCTGGGAGTGGTTGAGCAACTGATTCTGAAGGACATTGTTCAGATGGAAAAACGCGTTCAGATGGTGGAAAGTCAAGCAGGGCTTACAAATCCTCTCAGCCACGATGAACTGTCGTTCGAGCCTTAGCAACCACTGAAGCGTTCACTTGATAGCTTTTTCTACGCCCAGTGCCCATGGCAGCCGAAAATGAGCAAGGTTTGAGTTGAAAATGACGCTTTGTACTTTTCACCTGTACAATAGTAACTGCCGCACAACTACGCCGCCCACAATTGATTCTCGTGTTAACATTGAACAAGGAACCTGGCTCAATCCATACGTACGTCTTACAAAGTTTTGACACCGCTCTCAAACCATCTGACTTCTTTGTTTTCTTCGTTGTTAACCTAAGTATCATTGCTCTTGTGCTACGTTTAGTACTCAAAGAGAAAGTTCTTGTGCTTCATTTGGCTGGTACTCAAAAAGCTTTTCATAAAATGGGCTTTCAGTGGCTTAAACCTCATATCCACACTCCTCTCCTCTTGAATCTGCGCCGGTGTCGCAGACTCGCAATCACATCTTCTCGCTCCATTGACAACTCTCAACCCCATCTAAAGTATCCTCTATGTCAGGTTTAGGCGAAGTCGCTGCAGCAGTTGGGCTCGGTCTCAACGTTCGATATCACATTGACAAGAGACTGAACCCTTCCAAAATTTATAAATATGCTGAACGCAAAGTCAACAGCTTGGACAATGAAGTAATGTTGGCAAAGCTGCTCGAAAGAGACCTAAAAGCTGGAGAGCATGTTCATGTCTTGCGACAAAGGTAAATAATGATTACTACAGCGTTATCTATACTGAGACTTGCAATACAGAGCAGAAGCATCGCTCAAAGGGGCAGCAATGGAATTGGAAAATACCAATGTTTTGGAAATCAGGTCTCGCCTTTTGGCATCCCGGGCTGCATATGCAAAATGCAAACAATATGAAGACGAGCTCGTGGTGAGAGCGATTCTTCTTACTAAGGTCTTTCCGATCTGTGTTGATAGTGTTTGATTATGATGTAGAAACGGAGTGCTGTTCTGAGTCGTGAATATAACGATAAACAGCTTCAAGGTGCTGATCGAAAGGTATTTCAGTCCTCCTGTCGAAAGCGATCATTATAATATCAGATCTGTAGGGCTTAAATTCTCCAAGTCAGCTCTCGGTAGACTCAGCTTGTGCTATTGAAGAATTTTCGGCTCTTGACTTGAACTCATCCATTGATCAAATCTTTACAATCGAAGAGGTACTTACCAGAACGTCCTTACTTCCATTGTATTCTGACCAGAGATCTTAGCACGGGGAGGTGTCAAGTGGTCCAGGTGGCCTGCTGCTGGTCCAGGTAAATGAAGAAACGAATGAGTCAGTACGACAAGACGACACGCCAAGATTTCGAGCTGAAGCAGTCAAGTTGTAGTAGATGGGAACTTGTGAAAGACCAAACGAACCATGGACATTTGCACGAAATATAGTAGTAAATCATAATAAATCAAGAGCATTTGGATAAGATGGGTGAAAAGATCTAATGGATAGAATGATGAGATGAGAGTCCAGTGGGTGAGAGCAGAATCGTCTAATGTAATGCGAGAGACAACAAAGTGAAAAAAAAAACTTATATACACACACTCGTTCATCCTTCCCCAGCCAACCCAACCATCGCCTTCCTACTATTCGTCTTCCTTGCCCTCAAATGCGAACCAACGAGACCCTCAGGAGGCGTAAATCCAAGAGCCGACTTGATCCCGTTCTCCTTCATAATGTCGCGCTCACCAAGTGCAGCAGCAGCTGCAGGCGACATCCCACTAGGTCCACTAGACGAATTTGGCTCTCCATACAAAACATCCACTCCGCCTGCCCAATTTTCATCCGCTTCATATCCTCCTCCTCCTCCAGGTGAAGCCGGCGACACACCATCAAAGCCAAGCTGGCAATCGAATGGCATAAACAACCGGCTGCGGCGACGCAGCACACCTGATCCCCAGTTCCCTCGTATAATAATTCACCGCAGCGCAAAACGCCGTTTTCCTAGCACACCGCAGCCCCCAGTCCTGCCATGTCCCGTTGTGGCCGATACCGATTGTTACTTCGAGGTATCGCTGGAAGTTGATGGATTGGAACATGACGGTGGTGGAGGGGACGAACCACCGGTTTTGTTCGGTTGCGAGCCAGTTGTTGAGCGATCGCTCGAGGGTGTCGATTTTGGATTGGGGGGTCCGCCAGTGCATTTGGAGGGTGACGGATTCGTACATGTCGCCGGAGCGCCGGACGTTGGTGCTGTGGGAGGAAGTCCAAATCAGAAAGAGGAAAAGGAAGAGAAGGAAAGACACGTACATAAATTTCGCTGAAAGCTGACTGTTAAAATAATACGTCTCTGTTCCATCTACTCTAGTAAATACCGTCGCGAAAAGACCCATGCGTTTTACAACCAGAATTTCATTGTCAATGAAACATCGGTCACCAGTGTCGTATGGACTACACAAAAAAGGAAGATTCAGTAAAACAGCACGCATGAGAATGAAGCAACCCACTGAGTAACAAACAAAAACATAATCGCATCGAACGCATTACTCGCGCTTGTTTTGAAAACAAAACTCGCTCCAAGCCCCAGCGTATAAACACTACTCAGGCTGCTCTCAATATTCACTCCAAAGACACTTAAACTAATGAAAAACAATATTACAAGCGCAAAGAAGAACAAAATCCCATCCAGGCTTCTGAGAGCCTTTCCGACATCCCGCATCGAACGGGCAAGGGATCGTCGTTCCCGATATACCAATAAAATAGTGGTTTTGAGTTCAGCACGGGAAAGATCCCCATTCTTGTCTTTATCGAATACCCGGAAAGCAGTTAAGGCAGCTGTGGTAGTGGGGAATGCGGGATAGAAATCGGACGGGATGAGGTATGTTCGGTTTTGGGAGAGAGGACGGAATTTGAGAAAGATGCTCCGAGCGAGATGTTTGGCTTCGCTGCTGGACCCGACGTTGTGGAAACCGAGTGCGGCGGTGATGCCGCCCTCATTGGCGTCGTCGGTATCTTGGCCGCCGCGAATGTTGCGCGCGTCGTGGAGGATGGCGGTTTTGAGCGCTTTGGCGGCGGCGAAGAGGGTTTCGCCTGCGCCTGTGGATCCGTCGGTAGAGGGACGAGGGATGCGGTACCGGGTGCGGGAGGATATCGGTGAAGTGTAGGTGTAGCGCGCCCTGATCCGTTTGGAGGAGAGCGCGTGAATAGAGCGGAGGTCGATGGGATCATAGGTTGACTGTCGCTTTCTGGCAAGGGTGAGGAAAGTATGCCCATTTCGAGACTGACGGAATCTGGGATAGCTGAGTGACGTTTCTTCCCCTTGCCGAAACCAAATGTACTACTGAGTGTAGACATTCTTGAGTGACCGACAGCTGTATGATCGTCATATTCATTATCGGCATCGGTACCCTCGTCGTGAAGAGGGGATGAACCAGGTTTACTGTGAGCAGGGCCATGTCCACTCTTAAACCCAAACGTCGCTTTGTCCAAAACTGGCGCTCCCCAGCCCCATCCACTTCCGCGCGCATGGTTTTTGGGTTTATAGTTCCGTAGTTGCTCGATAACCTTAAGCGCCGTCCCCACCTCTTCTAGACGTTCCTTGAATGCTGTTCGGTGGAACGCAAACGCAATCGCATGCGAAAGCATCTGCTGCGCACAGACTACCAAAACACCAAAGAAACAGAATTCGACTACCTGGGATACACGGTGTGCGTAACTGGCCCTGCTTTGGCTCGAGTCTATGGTATCGTACAAGTTGTAAATGTGGCCAAAGATAATGACCCATGATGCCCATCCAGACGCAGCGTAGAGCACAGGTTTTATTGTGTTTTTGACCGAGTTGTACAACTCGACTCGGCTTTTGATTACCTCGGATACGTGTCCCCAGACGGCAGAGACGGTAAAAGTGGCTACGGTGGGGATGAGGTCAATGATAACGGCGAGGTACCAGGAAAGCAAGAGGTTGGCTGCAGCCCAGAACATCCAGGCTTGGACATTTTGAACGACGTACTTCCTATGAGAAGTTGGGTCTTTCTTGTACCAATAGAAATAAAGTAGGATTCCTGGAGCCACGAGAATGCCCGCAATGAGAGTGGAACCAAGGAGAGAGGAAAATAGTAGAGTGATGATCCTTCGTGCAGGGATAAGGATAATAAAATCACGAGAAATGAATGATGTACCTTTTGAAGCCCCATCCGGTTCTCTTTTGTTTGACGCCCATCTTCTGTTCAAATTTAGCCTCTGCGTGGACTAGGTCATCCTCTCCGCTCCAGTCGTAATCGCTTTTGTCGTCGTCTTCGTCGTCTGTAGCGATAGACATCGTATCTGCGGCTGCCGAACTATGGGAATCCATGTTATCCACTGGCAGCCTCAGGTCGGCCTTGTCCCTTTCAACAACGGGCACAGGCTCAAGGTCATAATGGACTTTTGGTTTTGCATCCTCTTGCATGTTGACTTGGGATCTGTATGCTGGACTGGGAGGATAAGTCGAATATGGGTTATTTGAATTCATAAACAGCTTCTGGTCCGGAAGATGTGAAGTAGAAGCATAAGGTGGCGAAGCAACGTCTTCTGGGCCGCCTAAAGACGAAGTGGAGAGGAAATGAGAAGGAGGAGGATCTATGAAGATGTGTTCAGGCTTTTTGCCAGCTGCTGTTGGCGACGCCGGCGAAGGACTGCCTGAAGACCCGGTCATCCTGATTCAACTGACATCAATCAATTGTTGGAGCTTTTGCTAAAATTATGTATATCCACATGCCTTGCCAGTTGTTGAAGAAGGAACGAACAGTACTTTGCCAAGGCCGTACATTTCCGAGTCTCTGTGACATCATTGGCAACCGCGCCGTCCGGAACTTCAACATCTCTCATCCGATGTACAAAAATGTTGGGCATATGGTGTAGGGGTTATCACGTTCGCTTTGCATTGGTTATGCGAAAGGTCTCCGGTTCAAATCCGGATTTGTCCATTTTCTTGTAGATCTTGTGTTTTACTTTTGCGTCCAGCAAATTACAGCAAATTACCTGCTCTATGTACCGTCCATCAATGCAGACTCGACTGTCCCATAGCAATTTCTACTGCCTGCCCATCCAGTCATGGTTTGAGAGAATTAGAGGATGTGTTTGCCCGAGCCTGAGGGGCTCGTCGTTGAACTAGGCTTGAGCCAGTCGTTTGTTTGTTACCACTGACGATCAGCCGTGCAGAGGCCGACGGAGTGATTTCACCTGAGTCTAGCGTCGAACAGATTCTGTACCCTGCCCGGCGGGCACAACTTTGGACACTCTTTCTCCGGAGTACGCTCACGCATGTATCCCCCCTCATATCCCCCCTCTTATATATGCAAATATTTGGTATTTACCCCAGTCAGTTCGCGAGTCAAGAGAGTTTTTCAAGTGGTGCCACTTGTACGTTTACCCACCTAAGTATTTCTCACTGTCACCCATAATGCTGGACAGGGAAAACACATCGAAAACGATATGAATATCGCATATATATTATAATATAAGCGGCCAGACACCTTTACTATTAGCTGTGTTTTCCAGAGAAATACTACTCACCTGAGGTGTTGTCGGAACTTGGGTTCAAATTTGTGTGGTTTCGCAAATTGCAGTCTTATGTACATAATTCATGGACATGCGGTCGTAATTATACAGCTTTATCTTTGTATCCAGTTAAGATAGTCGTTCCATTCTTCCTCAGCCTCATCCACAACAAACCTGGTAAGATAACTATCCTCCTCGTTGTCCGGGATTTGGCTGTCATCCAGGTATTGCCTCCAGCGTGCTATCACTTCGACCGGAGGATCAGGAAATGTCTGTGTCAAAAGAAACGATTTTCAATGATGTTTTGTATATTCTTGTATCCTACCTCTAGCCACTTCAAAACGGAATAAATATCATCTGGGTAACATTCGATTTGGGACAGCGGATGGAGGTTTCGAATATCACGAAGAAGTTCGTTGCAATGCGGAGACAGTCGGACAAGGAAAGCCCATGCAGCTTCGGAAGGAAAACACCTAATATTATAGTATCGTGAGGATAGTTATGTATCTGCAATGCTACCGTGCTAGCCACACACCTATCCATATCGCCACTTAGCTTACCGGCAGCAATATCCTTTCCTATGCAGATAGTTCGACGTGCCAGATCCCGGCATACCGATGGCCAGGGAAAAATCTCTCCAGCGAACGATGTACTTCGTAGATGATAAAGAAGATTACCGAATATTTCTTCATCTTTACCAATAATCCAGCGAAGGTAAGAAAGGATGGACTCGAGTTCAATCCAGGAGACATCGAGCAGCAAACAGTAGAAATCAACGGAGAGAGCGTAATCTTTTCTTAACAACAAGACTATACGAAGAAACTGAAGAAGGCCACGAGAGTGTGATAAAATACAGTGAGCAGATGTCTTGATCATCCTGGTTGAACAATATGATTGAACTTGTGATGCTTTATTGCGAATAAAAGCGAGATATTCATAGTCTTCCCAAAGTTGTATCACATCTTCGGGAGTTGGATAAATTTTCTTGGGTGCATGTTGGAATCATCTTGCAATGAGAATAAAAAACTTACTCTCATCCAAGTTAACCACGGGTTCAGCGAGTCCTCATATGGGTACGCTCTGAGATGGGATCTAAACAAAGACAACAGCTCCACAGAGGGAGGCAGGCGTGGCCCCTCACAAGGTCCCGCAGTTATTATGCAAGATCTTGAAGGATAAATGACACAGCATTAGTTTCAAACTCGAAGTTTACTACACGGCATGGTCCAAGTACATGGAAAACATACCTTGAGATAGGATCCCAATATTGACAAAACCTTTGAAACCTATGGCCACGAGCAAATCTCATGAAATAATGAACCAGAGTCATGCGGTCAGGTAGACCCCCGACATAGAAATTTTGGGAACGCTTTGGGTCATTCAGGAAATCAAAAAAGGATGCATGGTGGGCGGAAATCTGAGCATCCCATTCTTTGTTCTCCTCCGATGGCACATCAAATACAGAACAAAGGCCACGCAAGAATAAACGCGAATCTCCGTTTTCCAGCCCAAGCAGTTTATCAAGAAAACTAGGAGTCAAAGTAAAGTTTGTGATAGCACATAGGATTGGAATTATTAGAGGCTGCTTGGCGATGGGGGCAGCAAAGAGGATATTGATGTAAAGCTGATCGAGCGCCTCGAATGCTGAATCCGATCCGGTTTGGTCCTTCATAATGATAATTAGACGCTCTGCTGGGCGGTAGTTTTTATCATCAATGAATTTTATGACGGTTGATGCATAGATGAAATAACCGGATGACTTCCGCACAAGGTTATCCACGACATCGGGCAGTGGCCACGGGAGGGAAACGGTGGACATGGTTTGACGGTGCTCATGATGTATTCGCTCGAATTCATCAAGGAAAAATGTTCGGACATCATCAAACGACCGCTCCACATTAAATGGCCGGTGGACACCGTCATAGAACGATGATTCAAACATCTCGCGAATGTGGGCCTCAGGTCTGCTGGCAATGATGAATCGAAGAGGGAGGAAGTGTTCTGTGAAGGAGTTTCTGATTGCGCGTAAGATTTCGAGATGCACATTTTGACCCTCGCATTCATCCAGGCCATCAATGAGTATCGTTAGAGGGTTTCGATCGGGCTGCATGCGACAAGGCTCAGAAATCAGCTTTTGCAGCTGAATCTCGATGGACCTTGCGAGAATAGATGGATTGCGTTCCACTACTTGAGAGATCGGACCTTTCAGCCAGGGAATATCAAGTGCAAGCTGATATGCAATGGTTACAAATAAGGCTTTTGCGTTGCCACGCGTAGGATGGCCTCGTTTGAAAAAGAAACAACCCCCGAGCCGGCCTGTATCCTGCAGTTGGCTAGAAAGCGTTCGCATAATAGCGGACTTCCCTGCACCTGCCGGTCCAAACAACCATAGAATGCTACTAGTAGGATCTGTTTCTTGTGACCACTCCTGCAGATCTTCGAGCATTTTAGTGCGTGTTTCGGGGTGACATCTTGGCTGGGGGAAGCTATCCGCTGAGTCGTGAAGGGCTTCCAATGCTGCTACATTATGTAGTTTATCGATTCCTAGACTTCATTTTGAAAAAGGAGTCTCGAAGCGTTCAACATACTTACCTTTTTCACCTGGGCGAGTTTGGCTCACAAATGTGCCACCATGGATGGTTGTTGTGTACTTGTCAGGTAGGTATATACCGAATTGCTCTGAACACCCTTCTGTACGTTGACTAGGAAGTTCATTTCCTCTTTGGACTATCTGAAGAGGCCTGAGATCGGTTGGGGGGCATGATATAGTGTGATTCAGCGTGTGAAAATCGGGATTGGTTGATATGGCTTGGGGAGAGATTAAGGAGAGAAACTGTTCTTCGCCAGGGTACAGCGAAACCGTAGTTTCGGAAGGCTGGGGTTCCGGGAAATATTCTGGTAAGGATGTATAATCGAACGTAGTAAACCACGACTCCGTGGTTGGTGAGGTACCTGACGTTAACCGTCGCGAGGAGGAGGGCGCATTCGATTGTCCCCATGGCCGCGTGAGAGCATCTGAAAACCCGCTGCCATGAGTATATACATGGTAAAATGAAAATGAAAACCGGACTATATGGGGTGTACCGAGCACTTTCTGGTTTACTTCTTTGAGCTCCTAATACTCGTACATCAGAAGGACTAGTCCAACTATCTTCTACTGGCCGCTCGATATTCATATCACCAGCCACAGCATAGAAATTTCCTCCGTACACCTGGAGGTCAGAGCTGCGCTCAAAGAAAGACATCGACCGAAAGCGAAAGAAAGACGGGAGCAACGAAGACTCATGGGCGCTTCTATCCATCCTGACATTCCGATTATAGAACAATACAGCTTTGAATGATACAGCTTAAGTATTCCTGTGGCGGGTTCTCGGGAATGCAGCCTCATAAGCTATCCCACGTTTTACCCGAAGTTACCAGGTCGGGGGGCTCGTGGACGTGAATTACTTATAGGTTTTGTGTGTCTGTCATAAATTTGAAAATTGAAGCATTAACAAAACTTCATTTGCTCACCTACAGCATAGGAGCACACCAAATAGACCAGATACAATCTACATCTACACTACTGATACATAGATACCTTATACATAATTATACATACACTGCAGTATACTGCTTACCATATTCCATGGGCAAACGGTAACTGAAACGAAGAATTAAGAAAATTTAAAACAGCGCAAAGCCTCCGGGACAAGCCACACAGTGGAACCAAGCGTCTAGCTTGGAAGGGGGGGAGGGGAACGATAAAAGGTGCCACAAGATTGTGATAAGGGAAGGCACCATTTCAGGGGAAGTCCACACATCTAGCGGGGTCATCCCCTACTCCCATAAGTTTGGCTCACCTGGGGCTAACCAAGTCAGTGTAGGGCCGCACTTCCATAAAAAAAATCAATAAAAAATAAAAAGGCAGCGTTATCTTCGTAGCCAGTTGAGGAAGTCTTTCCATCCATTCTCAGCCTGATCCACATTCAAACTACACGCCTGCGTGATCTGGGTGACTTCCAGGTATCGCCTCCAGCGTGCGATTACTTCGACTGGAGAATCAGCAAACGTCTGCGTCAAAAGGAATAGATTTCAGCGAACAATGACCTCTGTACATTCTTGTCTCTCACCTCGAGCCACTTCAAAACATGGTGAACATCTTCCGGGAAACACTCCGGGAGTTGGGACATCGGTTCGAGGCCCTCGATATCACGAAGGAGCTTATCGCAAGGCGGACACAGTCGGAGTTGAAAAGCCCAGTTGCAGTGATTCTGAATACGAGACCAGCTAATATTATAGTCTTGTGAGTAAAAATCACGCATTTGCAATGTTATCACACACCTCATCACATCCTTTAGCTTACCAGCGTGAATATCCTTCCCTACGCAGATACATGTACGTGCCAAATCCTGGGATATCGATGCCCAGGCTAACATCTCCCCAC